CAGTGTGGAGATTCCTCAAAAGACTAGGAATAGACTTACCATATGAACCAGGAATCCCACTCCTGGGCTTGTATCCAGAAGGAACCCTACTTCAGGATGACACCTGCACCCCAGTGTTCATAGCAGCATATTTACAATAGCCAAAACATGGAAACAGCCTAAATGTCCATCAACAGATGAGTGGATAAAGAAGAGGTGGTATATTTATACAATGGAATACTACTCAGCCATAAAAAACGACAACATAATGCCATTTGCAGCAACATGGATGCTCTTGGAGAATGTCATTCTAAGTGAAGTAAGCCAGAAAGAGAAAGGAAAATACCATATGAGATTGCTCATATGTGGAATCTAAAAAACAAAACCAAAAACAAACAAACAAACAAAAACAAAGCATAAATACAGGACAGAAATAGACCCACAGACAGAGAATACAGACTTGTGGTTACCAGGCGGTGGAGGGTGGGAAGGGATAGACTGGGATTTCAAAATTGTAGAATAGATAAACAAGATTACACTGTTTAGCACAGGGAAATATACACAAAATGTTATGATAACTCACAGAGAAAAAAATGTGACAATGAGTGTGTATATGTCCATGAATGACTGAAAAATTGTGCTGAATACTGGAATTTGACACAACATTGTAAAATGATTATAAATCAATAAAAAATGTAAAAAAATAAAAAATGAAAAAATAATTATTTTATTGTCTCCATTGTAATTATAAAATAAGATTAGACTTGTTTTCTTATTATAAAAGTATGATAATTATAAGTCAATAAAGTGAGCAAATACATATTTATATTAAAGGGAACCACTGAAGCAAGGTGCTTAATCATATGAGCTCTGCAGTCAGGCTACTTGGCTTAAAATCTCAGCTTCACACTCATTTGCTGTAATGTATTGAACAAGTCACTTTATATTTCTAAATGTTTCCTCAATTATGCAATAAAGATGATGCATGTTAAATGGGAAGATTAATGTAAAACACTTTACAAACCACTTGAACATAGCAAACAATCGATAAATCATGTCTGGTTTAAAAAAAACTATAAAGATACAATTGAGTTTACTCAGTTTAATTAAACAAAAATTAAAATAATAATGAATTGTAGTTTTCCACCTATCTACTGGGAGCAACCTAGAAGACTGAGAAGTGTGCTGGGAGGAAACCATCGTACATTGTTGGTGAGAGTATAAGAGGGTGGGTGTAGCTCAAGTGGTTCAAGTGGTAGAGCACCTGCTTGGCATGCATGAAGTCCTGGGTTCAATCCCCAAAACCTCCTCCAAGGATAAATAAATAAACAAATCTAATTACCTACTCCCACCAAAAAAAAAAGAAAGAAAAAAGTATAAATTGGTTGAATGCAGTATAATTCATTCTGG